ACTATATATAATTACATGCTTCAAGAAATGGTATGGCCTCAATTTTGTATGAAAAATGTATTTTTCTAGATACTCTATGGTTATATAGAATATTATAGCGCCAAATTTTAATACGATATTATTATTATAATGTACATTGGTAGTTTACGTGATCATAGGAATAATATTATCTGGCTCAGAATCATTTCACATTATATCTATTTTGGGGGCATTACAAGGTTATAGGCAATGCCATAAATAAGAAATTACAGGCTTAGTGGTCTGAAGAAATATTATGCAATATTTTTAGAAAACTGAAATGCGTACATGCATTTTCGATCATAAATGTACATGATTAATAAAGACACAATTTACTTGAATGAAGAGGAGAACGGCAAAATCATACGTCACGTGAGTCAATCGCGATAGCTGGCTAAACTTTCTACGGCTTTATCCTACAGAAATCAACACGAAGGCTCTTTGAACAAAGTTATAAAGGTTCAGAGCGAAATAAAACATTCGCGTACGACCAAAAGGAATCCACTTTTAAATCGATCAGCATGTACTAGAAACTATTGGATTTAGTTTCTTACCCTTATTTTTTCTATAACTTGTTATTTCTTTTGCTCTATCAATAAAATTTATATCGCACAGAATTTTTTTGTATACATAGAGTATATGTCAAATTCTAAAGGGCTTATTCTGATCACCAAAATTAATAATTTTTACTTGACGACTTTTGGAAATTCGCGTTTAGAACTGTTTTAACTTTTCACACATTTAGTGCATTTAGTTACGGGAAAATATTGTTTAGTATACATTAACAAGGTGTGGTAGCATTATGGTTTGACCTACCACCTCTCAAGTAGGGGATCGTGGGTTCGAACTCGGGCTTGCACCTCTGAGTTTTCCGGAATCTATGTGCGAAATATAATTTGACATTTACTGTGTGTTTTTCGGTGAAGAAAAACAAGGCCTGTGCCCAGTAGTAGGACTATATAGGCTAACCATTGTTATTAATATACATCAATCAATGCACGTGGCTTTATAATTTTAATATTGATACAATTTAAGTAATTAAGAAAACAAAAATAGACTTACATTGCAATAAATGAAGGAGCTCCGCGCTAAGAAGCTTTTCAATCCGCCTTGTTGACGCCTTGAATGACTAGAAGGGTAGCAGCTACTTCTGCCAAATAATAATCTTAGCTATCCAAAAGGGACGTGTAACCAGGCTCTTTGGAACGACGACGCCCGAGGGCGCGGGCCAATAGTGGAAAAAAGTAATTATATAACTATTAAACACATTGTCGGTTCTGTAAATTTAGTATTGTATTCAAGATACCTTTTATTTGAACGCCTAATAGACTAATAGAATACAAATAATAAACAGCGACAATAAAACTATTTTGGTAAAAAATTCAAAATATAAGTTTAAGTAAAAAAATTGTTTATGGTATACATGTGCGTGTATCAATGCGATTATTATCAATAATATTAAGGTTAGTATGACATGAACGGATATTAATGGCTTCTGGTATCTATTTATGTTTATAAATTTTGATGGTAAACGTTTACTTTTATCCGAAATAAATTATTCTATGAACATTTTCATTATAATGTAATATAGTGTAATGCCGCCACAACCACACCTTTTACTTGGTCTCAATTATTTTACTATGTTAACCAGAGTATTGGATTTTTCCTGGGTAGTACCTAGAACACCCAGACAGTACCAACAACAGACCAGAAGTTCCCTAAATTGTGAACTGGGAATCGAACCCAAATCCTCCTCATCCAGCGCCTAGAATGCAAATCGTTGAACCATCGAGTTCGTCACAATTACTATGATAGTATTCTTTACCTTATTCGTATCGTTGATAAAAAAAATTCTATCATGAAATATTTGTTGCAAAGTATTGGTACCTATTATAGAGGTAGTTTCTTTGGGTGGTAACATTTAAAAGGTGATGCCTGAGCGCACACATCTTTTGAATGTTTGAATATCTTTTCCTGATAAAAAAGAAAAAATTAAGCACTGCCAAAGCTATGTATGAGGTTTTCATAGATGACGTAGAAATGAGACTCCAGTGACTGTTATTAATTATATTATAAGATCTTTCACTATAAATCAAAACAAAACAAAACCACGTCGTTTCTAGTCAAAGATGCATTTCGTAACGGCGACTGCCTGTTAGTGTTCCGTAATGCGATGGTGATGATAAGTAATATAGATTTATTTATATATTCGATAAAACTAATTCTTAATGAAGCAAAGTAAGTTTTTTAACAAAATAATATAAATAAATGTCACGATTCGCTAACACGTGGAAAGTCGTACCAAAATTAGAAATCCATTGTGATGGTAATTTGTAGGAACGTTATGAGTATACGTTAATGCCTTAACTAAAGTAACCTACAAAAACTTTTACACGATTTCAAAGCCGAAGTCATACCGTCTTTTACAACACTTATCCACTTTTTACGTTGCACTAAACTTAAATATGTCTTAAACCAATGCTTGCATTGCAAAAGACACTCTTAATACATTGTGTTAAAAATGTCTTGTATATTTAAGTATTGGTCTAAGACGTACTTCAATTTGGTGCAAATGGACATAAGTCTCAATTTACATTGTGGCGGAATGTCATGGAAGCGATTTTTATATCCAAAGTATAATGAACTTTATGTCAATTGTTTAACGTACAAACTACAAACGAGACAAAAAATGTCCTTCCATTCCGTACAGCGGTAATGTTTAGTTACCGCGGTACGGAATTTGAGTGAATTTAATGGACGTACGTAGTTAACAATTTTGACGGAAAAAGTTGTTTTCATGATTCGATTTAAAATTCCATTTTCTATATTATGATGTAAATAATTCAATGTTGATTACGCGTGTTAGAGTCATAAAGGGTAATATGGTATAAACCAATTAGCACTTAACGATAGCTACAGTAAAATTACGCATAACATGGACAGCCTTCTACATATTTTTAACGAATAATTTTATCAGTTCGCGTACATCGTGGTTCACGTGGCTCACCGTATTATCAGCGAATGAACATCCCAACAAAAGAATCCATTACGTGGATTCAGACAAAACCTAACAGTCATCCACAGTACGATATATCTGATCCTCCTATACTTCGGACTTAAGATTTATCTTGATTAAGTGAACCCCTAAATTTCTAGCCGTTATCCCCGTGAAATCAACACGGCGAACTTTCATTGGAGGGAAAAAACTTTTGTTTTTTTAACGAAGAAAACTTTTGATGATTGACAAGAATAAAAATACGCTGGTACCGTCTGCCTTTGCTATGTCTTGTTTCGTTATCCCGCCTCTAGATTCGCTTTAATGATGATTAAGTTTTAAATTAAAAGTTTGCCATTTCCTTGAAAGGAGGCATTGTTTTAAAAATTAAAAACGATGGCTCCATCTTTCTCATTGGAAATTATTTTGCACAGTTTTCTTTTAAAAAGGCGTTAATCTCTTAGGAAGAATTTGAAGTTCTCCATTTTAAAAGTTATACTGTATACATACATACATATACCAATTACTAAATTGGTACTAAATTGGTAAGGTACTAACGTTTCAGCAATTTTAGAAAAATCTTTGAACAAAATGTGGAGATATATTTAAACAGTTAGAATAGCACAATATTTATAACTCGTACTACCTCGAAGTTGATTATGAAATTGCAATAAAAAGGTTAAACTCATATCCTCAATTCAATTTATTTACTATTTCGATGTTGGAAGATGGATTTTATCTATTATCAGATTACGTAGCCATTTTCTATCCAGAAAAATGTTGTTGCTTTTTGAATAAAGGCAATACGACAGGGATCCTGTATTATATATTATATTCTGACATCGATGTCACATAATATAGACTAGTCTTTAGTGTTTTGATGACATATTATCATCGTAAATTATAAAATATTGTTTAGTATGTTCTTAATTTCGAATTTAATTTAAACTAGCTAGTTTAGCTAGTAGTTAGTAGAATAATTTAGTATTAAAAGCGCAATGTGGACAAAATTCGTGTTAGCGTAGTGTCAATTGCTGGATATATGCAATATCGATAGATAAGGTTCAAATTAACGTTTAAGTGTTTAATATTTGACAAAAAAAATGTAAATGTGACAATTTTTTTGCTGAATATTTTAAAGGGGGAAATTCTCATTTCGGTACCCGCACTTTAACGACGCGGACAAAACAATGAACGGGTGGCAGCTGTTCCTTTCAGTAAGCGATAGCAGCGTTGCGGCGAATGGATATGAAAGCTTCACATGATTGCCGGGAACCACCCCTGAATACTCATATCGCGAACCTTTGTTTCGAGTCAACGAAAACATTTTCATTTCCTCGGCCACATTCGACCCGAAATGTAGTTTGTTTATCTACAATTTAGGATATTTGGGGAGCGTTCGTCGTTTGCGATTCGCCGCGTGCTGATTTAATTTTCATTGTGAAAACATTTTAAGGGGAATCCGTGTAAACACTGCTATTTAGACAAACACGCCCAATAATGAACGAATGTATTTGAACGGAAGCTGTTTATTTGATGTATAATTTAGTTTTTTTTATATTGTAATGTACATATCGTTTAGTAGGTACGTAACGGTAAAGCTCCTTGTGAAAGAGTTCGTCCAGGGAAGTACTGCCACCTTACCTATTTCTACCGCCAAGCGGTAATGCTCACGTAATTGCGTTTCGATTTTAAAGAGTAAGGGTGCTGGTGAAACTGTAGGAACATGGGACTTATCAACTTATGTCTCAAGGTTATAGGCGCAGAGGCAGTGCTCCTCAGGTCTTTGCAATTTAAAACTCAGCAGCAGTAGCACTGCAACTGTTAAAATTTGCAGAAACAATTTACCTCTTTCAACCTAATAATAATACCAAAAGCATACAAAAACATACACAATCAATCCCTGACTTCTTACCTTAAATAATCACTCAATACCTTTACTTAGAGCACGGATGAACCTTAATAAATCTGTCTTCCTTTCTCACAGAGCTTCCGAGTAAGCCGGTGATCTTTGACGAATACGGCAAAGAAATATCCGGGATTGCTGGCCCTTACAACGAAGGGGGAGATTTCAAACTTATTTGTTCCGTAAACGGGGGTAAGTACATGTTTCTATTGTAAGATAATAGAATTGTGTAGACATATACAGGCTGTCCCTGAAAGAGCGATTCAAATTTTGAATTGGCGTTAGTATTTTTTTATATGTTTACTTCTAATTTTTTTTATCTATGTTTTACAATTTAATCAGGAATATTCTGCAATTATAATATCCTAGTAAACATTGATTAATCATAGTAAAAATGTAAATAATAGAAATAACTTGAGATTGTAAGTATTCACTGAAGCAAACATACCGTGGTGAGAATTTTTTTTAAATTATAAAAAAAATGTAATTTTGAGTAAAATCACTAGATTTTTTTCAATAAAAATTATTTCCATTACACAAAACTGTCAATAGCTTTATCGCCGTAGTGCATAAATTAATTCAATATAAAATGTTCAAGGTCTATAAATCGTTGAATTTTTGTCGGTATGTCATTGATACATATCCATGGAAAAGCAGTAGACGACAAATACACAGGAAGCACTTAGAAATCGCACTGTAAAGTCCTTATTTAACCTATTATTAAACTTATTTACCCTTAACTGCCTCAGTGGCCGAACGGTTACCATGCCGGACTGCCACGCAGAGGTCCCAGGTTCGATTCCCGGGCCGGGAGAAATATTTGTATGACCTACATTTATTTCTCTCGTGAGTTTGGGTGTAACTTGTGGTTGTCTATGTGTGTGTCCATGGCACCCGCGACACAGGGTTTCCCTAGTGCGGGGCTATGTTGAGTGTGTGCGTTATTATTATTATTATTATTATTATTATTATTATTATTTATTTCTCTCGTGAGTTTGGGTGTAATGGGTGGTGACAATAGCTGAGTACGCCACAGCCGCACACGTGACATTCAATCTAATTGTGTTGAATATTTAATATTTGCTTTGGTGTTGTGTATGATTTTATTTTTATTCCTTTTTTTCCTGTTATTTTAATTTTAATTTTTTGTTTTAATTTAGCTTCATCTTTTTTTTATCTTCATTTTATTACTCTGTATATTTTTGTTGTGGCGTAGTAATAAGCGATTTCTATTCTATTCTATTCCAATTTGTGTTTGTCTATGTGTGTGTCCATGGCACCCACGACACAGGGTTTCCCAGTGCAGGGCTATGTTGAATATGTGCGTTATTATTTGGTTCTATGAATTACATGTAGCGTAAAGGGGTACCTCGTACTATCATAGTCTGCTACGTAAATTTACGCTGTAACTGCACATGAACGGGTCAGCTCAACTCTAATATAAAAAAAAACAGGTCAATAAGACCTATCCAAAGATGACAAGCGCCCGAGTCTTAACCCGGTGCTTTGTTAACGCCAAGTTTAAATAGAGTTAAAACCCATTAACGCCTGAAATCGACGGCAAAAACTATGTACAACAAAATATTTGTGGTAAATCGAGTTTTGTTCAAATGTAAAAGATATTATAACAAAATATTTATTGCTTTCTGATGCAGACGATTCGATTTGCCTTTATATTGAATCGATTCGCTAGAAAATAACATTGAAATAAATCGATACAATAAATCGTTAAATCGTTTGCACTTGAATAGATCTTCATAAAAATTTAATCGTAAAGTGCATCCTTAGTAGTGAGAATCCACAAGATTTGAAGGTGGTATTGTGTCGAGTTGCCTCTCTGTCGTCCAAAAATTATTTTTTATGGCAAATTCTGTATTCGCCCACGATTTTGGGCAGAAATGGTTTAAAACCCGATTAAAACGCGACCGGCATGATTAAAATTATTCGATTACTAATTTTATTATTGTTACAATATAGCTGAAATAAGATTGGCTTTTTTATTACAACCTTTATGGGAGTAAAATACAGAGAGTGAATATAAAGATGATAATTTGATTGAAGTAAGACGGTCCTATACCTATTACATTGAGTATTTCGCTTGCTCCAGATGGCAACTGCGTCAATCAACTTGATGCGACAGTATTCTGTTTGATGCTTTGTTTCTTCTGTATTGAAATATTTTAGGAGAATGTTTTTGTTTTATATAAATTTTTCAATAACTGCGATGTTCTATTAATCAAAAGAACCATTATATTTATTTTGCGCTCGTTCTTCGGAACGAGGTGAGCATTTCCTTTGTTCTAAGTTATTTAAAGAAATTCGATAAAATAAATTTACAAAGCGAATTAACAAGAAATTATTTGGAATATCATGATTATTTTAGAATTTGCCTCTGAACAAAGCATACTTCTACGAAACATCGTAATACAAATATCTTTCATTAGAATTTTCCAAATTTATTTCTGTTACTTCAAAACTTCAAAGAAGTTGATAACTTAGAATCCAAATTCCATGATCAGGAAAATCCGACTCTGAACTTGTTATCTCGTAGTTAACGGAAATGGAAGGAACACGATAATAATTTGATATATATGTATATTATGATATAGTGTACTTATGTTCTTGACACATATTTTGACAAAACCAACATTATAGACTAAAATATCAGTGATATATTACAATCATAATGAGTTATGGAAAACTGCAACTATAATCATACTGGATAATAATAAAAATAAAAAATAATAGACGTAAGCAAAGTGTTTACTTGGTTAACATAAGATTGTAGTATGAATAGCTTCGAGATCGTACCTCTTCTCCGCTTCTCTACCCCAAAATTCTTAAGGTGACAGCTGATAACTACGTCCCTCCCTGTGTCCCTCGGCCAACGTACGAACCGCTGACCCAAGAAAGTCTTCGTTACGGGTTAACCAGATCGCAATATATTCAAATTGTTCATAGAATAACCGTTCTTGGCGGCGAGGACAAATAACTTCCTAATTAGGCGTGTACACCGAACGTAGAACTAATTGCGCAACTCACTGCTTAGATGGACACATTCCACAGACGACCGCCACTGAAACCGAATGATGGCTGTCCGTGCACTTGCTACGAAAAAAAAGACGCAGCCATTTGTGTTTACTATTCCAACCCCACACACAAAAACCGCATCTTCTCTGCAAGCTTTACAAGGTGAACGTGAAGATGCATATGAATTACCTATAATTCAAAGTTGATGGTAAAAGCTTTTCGAGGGACTTGAGCCAACTCGCCAGGTCTCATACTAATTTAAAATTTAACTCAATCCACTCTAGATGTAATCTGCCATACGGCGGAGTTACCCTGCCGACATCAATCTGTATTTTGCTCTCATTGCACTCAAAACTCTAAGCTAGTTTTCGCGACACTCCAATTCACCAACACACACCTAGGCGAGTAGTTCCGCAAATGAAGAGTCTATGGTATCACTAATAAAAATAAGGCAGTGTCTTTTACTCGACGTAACCGTAAGGTACAAAGCTTCACTCCCCTGTCTCCCGCTTTCGCCATCACATTCCTTGAGAAATACTACCAAATACATTGGCTAGCACCTATCGTTTATAGACCGTTCGCTACCGAGCTTATGTTGTCATGAGTTACATCCACCTCTTCCTCAATAAGGCAGAGCAAGCTCTCGTTTCGAAACACAGTGAGACGTGCATCTCAATTATCATGACCTACGCTAATGTTGTCTTCGCACATGCAAATTCCGCTCTCATTCACCACCTGTAAGTCATATAAAACAGATTAATGCGCAAAGTGATATTGTGCTCCATGGTACCGGCTCAACGCCTATGTCTCATTTGAAGATTTACGTCCCTGTAAAAGCTCAAGTCATAAAACAGGTATTGAAACCCTACTTGGACTTGTTACCTTCCTCAAATCTTTCATGTTAGCTGTCGTCAACTAACTAATCTCAAAGTCCACCGGAGGAATGGACTTTGAGATGACATATTTGACGCATTTGGAGAAACTGTCAATCCAAGGAATTTTGTAATTATCCTCCTGGTGACTCTATATCTCTCTCACTACACATGCACTCACTGCACAGTGCCAACCAAATGGCTGCACAAAGATACTCCACCAATGAATAATCAATCTTCATCGACGAGAACGAAGAGTTTCTGAGTTCAGCGTGTACGTACAATCCGGGCTGAATCTCTCCTATTGCACGCCTTCTTGACGGAAATCTCCAGTAGCGTCCAAAGCCGTCTTCCGTCCTCACTCGGGCGCCTTGAGATCTGCTTTTTATAATTAATTAAAATACGGATTAAGAGCCTTTTTCTCTGGCCCACTTCTATATATTATATATTTTTAAACAAACTAAGCGATTTAAATTGTACATCGTAGTATATATAATACGAGTGTCATTACTTGATAAGAGAAACTGAAAACAACATCAAAGGTTTAAAGACCTTGGAAACTATAAGTTCTGAAAGATGTTGTCACTGTCTTGTTTCAGAAAAACAACATTTTATGTGTAAATGATCAAAATGGCTATATTTAAGTCAATGATATCATAACTCAATATAGTCCTTTACCTGATAAAAATGTTAAAATCATACGGTCAGCTTTTCAGTAGATTCAAAAATAACTCCGTTTGCTATCAAATACGGCAACATACTATCAATAAATAGTCTCAATCTTATACTTTGAATTTTGGATCCTTCTTATAATATGCACAGAATTGCTTTTGAATCTTTAGTGTAAACCTGCAGGATTGCAAAGTTTCTTTGATACCACAGGTAATCCAACGCCAAGGATCCAGTGGCTCCATGGAGAAACAGTACTGGCTACATTAGGGGCTGGTGAACTTCAGCCCGCAGGGTCAGTTAGGACGTTGGCCTTGTCAATACGGAACGCAACACGGTCAAAATTGGCGAATTTGTACACATGTACGGCGGATAATACTTTAATGTCACCGCCTTTGAGAACTTCAGTTCGAGTGGACCTTTATTGTGAGTATTTTTTTTGTTTATAATATGGTGCTATTATATTTCACGTCGGCATCGTTCTTATACAATCGAATCCAGCACGGTTCAGCCAAAATTTCCGTGCGGTATCAAAATATAAACGAAAATTAATGTCAAACTTGAATCAATTACTTATTGATCATGGTGATTTACAATCTTCTGCCTCATATTTTAAGTAATTTTTGAGTCGCTCTTTTATAAAAGTTCCTATCTTTACTTATAAAATGAAGCTCTAAGTGTCGATTGATGGTATTTTTATCATCAAAATCATGTTAAAGGAATCTTGTGAAGATCGAAACAAGTGAAAATTTGAAGAGGCTATTTCATACAAATGCGATGGATAACGTAACACATCCCAATGTAACTGCAATAGTTTTTGATGTATTTCCAAAGATGTGTGTAGTTTAGTTATCATGATGAAATACGACCTTTATGATTCGCCAGTTCTGGGCGTTTTACTTCATGAATTGTAACTGTAAATTTATAACTAAGCTTATTCTTAAAATGCGTGCTGAAATACTATTTCAAAAATTGTCATTGGAATAATAACATTTTAAAAGAAAAAACTTCTTCTTTAAAGTTACGTGTTAAAACCGCACGAAAATTTTGATTAGCCAAAAAAAATCGTAGATAAATTTGGATTCCAAACTTATTCCAAATTTAAAATTAAACAAATTTAAACAGAATTATAATCATTAGCAGAGCTGTAATTAGTTTTTTATTTGGTTTAGTTCTCACGTTTTATTATGTAATTTCCCTAATCGTTTTCATAGATAGTTACTTCATTACGAGAATAATAAGTTAGAGTTTTGAATAACGTTTCCTCCCCCAGCTTCTCTTTACGTCCTTGTATCCTACAAATCGAATCAGTTTAAATACCTGACTAAACCCATAAAATAACTAAATAACATGTATGAATAGATATATATACAACACACTTGCTTTCTTTATAATAACAATCATGCTCCCATGACACTAAGGAGAATAACAACTACTTTCCTAGATACTCTGTGCCCGACTCAATGTTCCATCAGCGTTATTGGCTTATTTGACGCGCGCTAGAAATGTTTTCCTGTTTTCCTCAAGACAAATTTATTGAAGAAAAAGAAAGTAAAGATTATTTATATACATACTTTATACTATGATATTTTATAGAGTAACTACCTATGGTTCCAAAGAAATTTATAAATGGAAACCGTATTTATTTCGATTTTTCTTTCTCTAATTTAAAACATAATTAAGTGACCGAACGTTGTACAATATCATGGATAGAAACATCCCATGAAATCGTCTGTTTAAGGTATAACCACATAAGTGACATTTTCCACAAAAAAATGTGTAATTTATATAGTTATGGTAAGAAAACACTATCTTTCTGCACGTAAAACTCAATAACAAAAAGCTATAAACTTAATAAGACTTTTATCTGAAGATTTTTTTACAACTGGTACATAATTTGGAGATTTTTTGTGGAAAATGTCACTTATGTGGTTTTACCTTTAAGCAGACGAAATTTATGACGGCGTTTACTGTGACTACGATCTAAATGTAAAGTGATTTGTTAAATATAATTATTGGTTAATAAAATATTTTATAATTAAGGGTGTCACCACACTTAACGACACGGATTTGGGTTAAGCTGGTCAGAAAAAGCTTTATGTCCATCCTTATAAGACCGAAAATGACGTTGTGCGTTTCACGTCGCGACCCGAGCTTTTTTCGCTCTTATTGCATAGACATAAAAGTTTTATGATGAGCTCAAGGCTATTCCATGTGAATAAATGTGTAGAGTCCCTAAAAATGTGGTAGAAAAACAGAGAAAAAATATACATAAATAATCATAACTAATTTCAGTTCAATATAAACTACCATCAAATAACGAAAACATAAAAAAATATTATATATTTTGTGTATAAATATTTTCAGAACCTGTTTCTTCAAAGAACTTGGTCACTTATTTTTCTAAATATACTCCTTAAATATGTTACTATTTACATAACAAAGAATTTATTACTCAAAGCAAAAAGAAGTAACATTGTGCCGCTTTTATCGAACACACGCAAAATGTGATATATTGTTATTGACGGTTTTAAGCGATAAAAATTCACTTAAAATCTGCCTTTGTAACACATACGGTTTCTATAAGAACTAATGGTTTCCATGACTGTTCACTACTCACATTTAAAACATATTATTTTTATTACATTTGCTAAAGATTATATTAAACAAATTGATGCACTAGTTTTCAACATACGCGTATGAACAGGCTCCAAATCTGCTAACTTTCTTGAAGCCACTAGTCATTGTAATTCCATTAAGATTCCACTGAGATTATATTGCAATTATGATAATATTCATATAACTCAATCACTAACTATCAATGTTGCCTTACTAAATCTTCCATGAAAATTACTATCTTAATTTTTATCTTAAATTAGTAATTTAGACTTCAAGTTAAATATATATAATATTAATGCACTCCATCAACATGTCACCGACTCAATATTGAAGAGCAGAATTATAAAAACTTATAATGAAATTTCAATAGCAGCTCTATAGCTAACCAACTCACAAGTAGATAGTGAACCAACACGGAAACCGTTTTTAAGGAAATTGAGAGCGTGTGAAAAGGGCCTTACTATCTGTTATCTAGACTAATGTAATTATATAGTATGTTAACGGTATTTTGACTGTATCGTAATATATATATATATATATAGTACAACATTTTGGATAAAGCCACTTTCGTCTTATAATTTTAGCCAAGTACACATTAATGATAATTGCGTTTGCCAAACTTGATTAAACTTTTTCTCTAAAATCTGATATCTGTATACACAATCCATATATTTAGTTGCTAAGACACAACGAAACATCTCTTTAAACATTTTTCGACGAACTCATGTGGAATAAAATGGTTTCTTAACATTATTATGGGGTAGAGGGAAACGTAATAAGTAAAGAAATTTGAAATTGATCTCGTAAAAAGGGCTTCGAGTGTCGAATATATGTCGGAAGGTAAAGCCGCGAATTTTGTTCAATTTGATATAGGTGTACTGTATATAAATCTACTGGCTTCATTAATGCGTAAGGAATATAATCCACTACCATTTTGGCATTCAGTTAAGTTCTATTCTGTATAATAAATATTTCAGACTGTTTTCGTATTCATTAATTACATATTCAATAAATTATCGTGTGTGGGTTAACAAGAATAATGAATGTAGGCAGGTTTTGTTCTTTTTTTGCCTCTTTGCCATTGAGTGTAGGTAACTGAATAATTTACGTTGACAGTGAGGCCACTGACAGTAGAAATACTGTCAAGAGAGCAGCCACTCTCAGTGGGGAGGAAAGCTGAGCTATGGTGTCGGTCTACAGGGGCCCGACCGCCAGCCACCATTACGTGGTGGCTCGGCAGCAAGCAACTCAATTCTGTTGCGAAACAGCGGGTAAGTAGATATGATTTATGACTATGAAATGTTACAACGGTAATGTGTGAATGAACGAACAAAATATTTAAAAAAATATTCTGCAAGGTCAAGTAACAAACGTTAGTTGACTGCAATCTTTCAATAGTTGTTTGATTTAAACAAAGGCTATGTAATAAAAAAGTCGGAAATAAATATTTTTTTTCATATTTAAAATTGCTTCTTGATTTCTACACTTTACATGTCTCGTAAAGTTTTTTTTTTTTGTAAAACCAATTGAAAGATTAGCAGGGAACTATCCAAAACATATTTGTTTACTGAAACACTAATCATGTTATTTTTCTATAATAAAGAACGTCTTGAATATTTAGCAATTCACATTAAAGAATAATAGACTTTATAAGTATGATTAATATTATAAATTTTAACATGTTACAGCCATTCGTAACCTTGGTACAATAAAGCCATATACTCGCACTGTTCATACAACAGTGAAAACTGTTCATACACTGCCTGAGTTAGTACTCAGGCAGTGTATCAATGAAAAAATTAATCGCTCAGTTTCCATAAAAAAGTCATTAAAATTTAGGTATAGGTTAAAATTTATTACAGACGTGTAAACATATTCCTACTAGCCAAATATATACACAAACAAAAGAAAAAATAATTTCATCTTTTTAAGTAAGGACTGTTTTGGCCAGAGCTAATTCATATAAAGTTTGTTTCATTTTTAGTTAAGGACACATATTTTAATTTTTTGTTACAATTTTCTAACGACGGTTTTATTGACGTGCAGAGAATAAAATTTGCGTGCAGCAATGATATAATCTTGAATTTAGTAGCAGTAGAGCTGCTTGTGAAAGAGTTCGTTCAGGGAAGTATTAGAGTGCTGGTGAAATTACAGGCACATGTCATCTTATGTATCAGGATAACAAGCGCTGTGCCCCTAACATCTTTGTGATTAAAAGCTCTGAGTTGCACTGCAACTGCACGACTTGTACGTTCCGTCACTTGGTATTATAAAAATACACATATTTTGAATTTGAAATTGCAGTGCGACATGATCATACGTCAAGTGTTTTTATCACGTGAGAGTGATACAAATAATACGAACTTGATAAAAAAATTATGTAAGTGTTAAATTTTATCACTCCTATTTAAACACAAAAAGTTATCGATTAATTTCGTTCGTAGTTTTTAAACGTCTCCCCTGAAAAGTTCAGATTTTGCAGATGTGTGGTCTTTTTACACCAAGCGAAACAAGCATCAATACAAATTAATATAATAATAAGTTTGTTTATTTTCTCACCACAATGTAGGTAGATTGAGCAAACTAACAAGAACTATGCATAAAAAAATAATTATACTGTAAATAAATAGACGTATTTCAGGTCTGTATTTCAGTTCACCAGGACTCCATGCCTTGGAAAATACAAATTTGCAACTTGGAATTATGCACTTGTACATTGACAATTGCGATAACCATCAAATAGATTGCGAAATCCATTTAAAAGAAATAAAAAATAACATAAAATAAAAAGGAAAAATATTGTTTGTGCAATGTTAGTATTTGTTTGTGTATTAGTGTGTTTTTAAGTGTGTGTTCGATCATTATGTACAAAGTTTTATTATGAAGTAATTAAAATAATTAAAATAAAATAAAATAATTCATATATGAACTGATTATACATATTGCGTTTCATTTGTTGTAACCCTTTATAAGTAGAATTTGCTTGTGGCTAAGTCTATAAATTCGTGTTCGTCTACAATTTTATTATTATTTTCTGTTTTATTCAGTATTGTGACGAATAAGTCAAGAGGTCTGCTAATTGCGATACAAGATAGCGTAGTCGGTTATTGAATGCCCGTTGGTACACCAGATGTCGCGGCAAGTGTCAAATAGCTTTTACATAAATAACTATTTGACTACTAATTTGTTTTACATTGACGAGCTGCAATTTATTTGTTTATTAATTATAATTTATTTATAAATAATAAACAAATCAACTAGATGGCGCTTATCGCACAAATTTTTATGTATAGTGCCGGCTATTCTTTTATTTTGTGTAGGATTAGCGCCATCTACCCATATTAGCAAGTGATAAATTATAAATTGATTTGTAACACTCAATTCGATTTATTGACACGCATGTTTGTAAAAGTTTAAATAATAATTTTAGCTCATGATTAACCCTTAACTATAGTCGTGGAAAAAAATAACGCTTCTATACTCGGTGGTCTAAATGTACTCAGGCATTTTGGAATGGTGATAAAATAGAAGGTATGATATATTTATAATATTTCTTTATTCACATTATTATTTTAACATTAACAAATGCAGTGTTGCATAAAATTAACGGTAGGAATATAAAAATCAATATCTATTTCTAAAAATCAGATCAACTAAAAACAATCAATAAAAAATTAAACAAATGTCAAAATCTAAAAACAAAACTGTTTTCTTACATTTGAAATAAAATTAAAAGTAGGTATGTCCTTGTGAAAAAAACTGACACCATGCAATTTATTCTAATTATAAACATGAATAGCACAAAGTTTTCACATATGCCATGTAAATAGACAGGTCATATAAGGTTAACATAAAGATCATTTCAACATTCATTAGGATTTTTGCTATCGGATATTTCAGGACGTTTCATGATCAAGAATTCTGATAAAATCCTCATCATTATTTGAAAACTCTTTATCTATTTGAAGTTACAGTATTGCGTGCAGATAAAGAATTTTCACCGATTGTTCCCTCATCGCTGTCTAAATCAGTGTTCAACCATTTCTATAATGTATCTTCTTGAATTACTAAGACATTTTTTTGATTCACCATGATTAGAAACTGAAACAAAACACAATAATAGATAAAATATGTCACAAAAAAAGCTTATATATCTATAGTCGTGGGTCCATTGGACCCACATGTAATCCATTACTTACATTTGGAGCAGCGAGCAAAACACGTCCATCTCCCGCGCTCTTCGGCGTGTCACGGAAAGGTACGGAGGACTGGGAAGAGCTGCATCGCCTACTGCGATTCCTACACGAGTTTAAAGAATGACTTGGGTCCATTGGACCCACGACTATAGTTAAGGGCTAATATTTGAATAATATTATATTAAGGAAAAAAAATGGAAATGTCATAAAAAAAAAAAAAAAAAAAAAAAAAAGGAAAAATACTAATTGCTTGAATTTTGAAGCGGAATTAATCGATATCCACGGTCAATTACATAATATTCACTACTTCCAGGCTATTGATCAGTGCCATCTAGATACAAGATGGAATTTCGGCCTTTTTTAACCGACTTCAAAAAAAAGAAGAAGGTTCTCAATCCGACTGCATAATTTTTGTATGTATGTTAACGATTTTGATGATTCTTTTTTGTTTGAAAGAGCGTACCTTAGATGTGGTCCCGCTTAAATTTGAAGAAAATATTCCACCTCTAAGGGTGGCAAACTAGGGGATGAATGACTTTTGAGGTCGGTTGTTTAGTACTCGGTACTGAGATTATTCAGAGTTACGATCTGTACTATGGAGATCAGCAGACCTCTTGAAATATTCATCCATGGTATTATGCATTCGGATTTTAGTAGTATGAAACTCTTTAAATCTAGAGTTATTGATAATTTTTTCGGATTCTACAATTTTATTTCCGTGTGCATGTGATTAAAAAGGGAGATTCATTGTTAAAATATTTTGTATGTTTTTATTACTAGGAGTTAGACGAAGGCAACGAAACTCAATCGTTGCTGCAGTGGACTCCTTTGAAAGAGCACAACGGCCAAGTGCTCTCGTGTCGCGCGGAACATTCAAAGTTCAACAAATCTACCATTGAAAGCAGACTGCCGTTGAACATTTATTGTGAGTATTGCTTTTGTTATTAATTTTCAAGCCAATCTTTAATTTTATAGCAATAAATTTATACACAAATAGGTTGGTACTAAACGAGGAAACAATTTTGCTGTATTATATTGATAAAAATCATCAATGAGCGACTGAGCTGTATTTATTTTATTTGTTTGTCCAATAATTTTCGTTAAATGGTGGATACTTTTTTAACTGAAAGGTAATTGAAAAATAAATAGATAATGACTCAGTCCGTGGCTCAGTTGGGAGAGCAGAAGCTTCGTTTTGGCGTATAGTCTCGGGTTCGGATTTTTCTCTGTGTTTGTTCTATCTTTGTATCAATAATAACAACAAACTAATGAAGTATTTTCACAAAAGTATTTATAATTTTATTTATAATCTGTTATTATTACAAATATCGTTTATTTTATATAACCCAACTAACTAATAGCTTAAGACCTGGAAGATAGTATAACATCTAAACAAAAGCAGACAAATTATTATTCAATAGACAGAAACATAAATAAGTATACAAATTCTTTGTTTAGAAATAAATTTATTTGTACTGTGTAACCTAGTGCGAAATATGCTAATTAAGGACCCTATAGGTGTTGCCAGTTTTTCATTCGGCGTTATAGAAAATTTATTATACTGGATTATTTGTAAAATACGAACAACCTCGCAGGACTTAATTACTAACATCGTTAAACAACAACTTTTGTTCCATGACTTCTAATACATAATCCATCAGATTTTGCTATAGTACAAAAATAAAAATAAATAAAAAGATCGCTTTAGTCGGTGATAACTCTGCGCGGTAACAAAAGACAGCGCTAGCGTAAATGTCAGTCCTATGCAAAACGCAGGAGTGGGAGTGAGTGTAGTCGGGAAACGCTAGCACGTTTGTACTTACTATCAAACACAGATCTAAAAAATGTCAGATGGTACTACAAAATGTTAAAAGATTATTTTTGGTAACATTATGTTTTTAAAAAAAATCTATTCTATTTTTTAAGTTTCTTGCTTGTCTTGTAGAATTTTGCCAATGTCATGTCAGTTATGGGAATCAGGGAACAGTAGTCATTTGTTATGCAAGACTGCAAAGTTGTTGTTTGACGCAAGTACTGGTATTGAAACCTGACAAGCGAAGGATGCTAAGATTGAACTACGAACCGAGTGGTTCAAAAATAGAATTTTGAGCGTAGCGAGGGTTTCAAGATACGAGAAACATTGCTGTGGAGCAAAACTCACAACTTTCCACCTCATTATAGCGAGGAAAATGGTAGACGAAAGAAAAACAGTTGAACTATAATAAATCAGTTTTAATAAACAAAATTAGTTGTCGTTGTCAATTTAACGTCAACAATTATAAGAAAAAAATATAACGGATTTATATTACATGTATAATGTACGTCAAATCGCGTAGTTGAACGTGAAATTTTTTTTTATCGAAAGAAAAAGTTAGGTGCACCATAGTCCATCATCAGGTTCAAACTTCAAATACCTTTTCCACGCTAGGATGAAAAAAACACTTTTGCGCGCAGATTTCTAATGAGAAAGAAAGCCTTTTGGAGCTAGTGAGGTCTTGCGAGGTTGTTTATATTTTGTAAATAATCCTGAATTCGATTAGTTGTTTCTCACAAAAACAAATTGTTCACAACTTTAGGGTGCGCCCTTTAACCACTAGAATAAAACACACACATACACTGGTTACTATAGCCGTGGTAGCTTAATAGTTTGACCAATCGCCTCTCAAGCTTTGGGTTCGAACCCTGGCCTCGCACCTCTGAGTTTCTCGGAATTTAGACGCGAAATTTATTTAAAGTTTACTATGGCTTAAACCCTCGCCTGAGAGGAGACCCGTGCCTAGCAGTCGGACGTGTAAATAGATTCATGACGATGATGACTGGTTACATAAAATACGTATAAAGCTTATGAATGATAGAACTAAACAATTACTAGTTTTTTTTATCATAGGAATGGAAAGGAAACCCTGTATCGCGGGTGGCATGGACACACAGACACCACAAATTACAACCAAACTCCCGAGAGAAATATTTGTAGGCCACACAAATATTTCTCCCGGCCCGGGAATCGAACCCAGGACCTCTGCGTGGCAGATCACTTGAACCTTTGCATTGAACTGCTACACAAATTCTTCAAAACACTATCATCATCATCAAATTTTGTTGTAATAAAAATAATAACTGTTCTATAAAACACTGCCATTTCTATCGTCAGAAAAGCGGTAGGGCACCATAACATTTTTTTAAATCGTTTATAAGATGAAATGAAATAAACCAGATTCATCTTTTAATTTACCACCCATAGAGGTGGAATATTTTTTAAGTACCCCCTTTCTTACAAAAAAGAATCACCGTAATCAGATCACAAATATCAGAGTAATCGTGTAACATTTTAACTGCCTTGGCCGAACTGTTACCATGTCGGACTGCCACGCAGAGGTTCCGGGTTCGATTCCCGGACCGAGAGAAATATTTGTATGGCCTACATTTATTTCTATCGTGAATTTGGGTGCAATTTGTGGTTGTCTATGTGTATGTCTGTGGCACCCGCGAAACAGGCTTCGTTGAGTGTGTGCGTTATTATTATTACTATTAATACACATACAAAAAAATACAAACGTATTGAGAGCCTTCTCCTGTTTTAAAGTCGGTTAAAAACTATAATTGACGTTTAATGAAATAATTTCGAACATTATGTGCCCCTATAATTAGTAGTAAACACACTCAAATATATTTTTTTTTAGTATTTTGATTGAAATGGGAGAAGAGTTACAAGCGTTAAAGTAAGCTTCATTACAAGGTCCCAGGCGACTGACGATGAAAAGTTACATTGAGATAAATATTAAAAGCTTTCAAAAGGACTTACACCTCAGCTACCCATCTTGTTAACAAAGCCATGTTTGGAGTCTATTATCCGAAAATTAATTAATCTCGTTAACTGACAGTTGTTTTTGATTCTTCAAGTGCTGTTCTTGAATCTTCAGTGAATAAAATTTAAATTAGGAATGGGATTTTTGAATAATGTTATATCCGAGGATTTAAGTAAAATAATATAATTTAATGAGGATATTTACATCTAGTTCTTACGGGATTAGATGATTAAAATCCGAAAAAAATAAAGTTTCATTTTCAACTAAAGTATTTTTTCTCCCATTTCATGTAAAACAAGTTTAGACAAAATAATTATCTTTCAAGCGCATATTGCGCAAGTATCTTTTTCACAATCTTATCAAGACTGCATAGTGTTGGTGTGGGTACAATTATATACTATTAAAACATCTACGTTTATTATATATTTATGTATACTTAGTGTGTTAACATAATATTATGTTATTGAGTTCTTAGGCTTTCGCGATTTTTACACATAGGTAATAAAAATATTTTTAGTCAGTGGTGACCATGGGATCTGTATAGGACCCGAAACGTTGGTTTGTTTGAAAAAACAAATATACGCGATATAGTAATAGTTTTATTTCCTATATTATGTTTGTTTTATACCATATAAATAAATTATATAATTTTTGGTATTTTAGTTTTAAGTATAGCACCAACTTATTTTTTTTCCTATGTGGCCCAATGGTAAACTGGTAAAGAATGCCTTACGGCATTAATCCGCCAATCGCACAATCAAGATATTGTTACTTATTGTTTTGATTTGTGTATAATAAATAGATGTTACGCGTTGCGTGAAGGCTTTTTGTGAGGTTTGCAATAGAATTGGAGTTGTACTTTTTGTTTTATTTATTTTATTCTCAAATACAAACACATTCTCAAATTTAAACACAACTTCAAGAAACAACTCGCTAACTTCCACGTTTGTTTTAATTTGTGTGTAATAATTTTGATTGTACAAAATCTGCCCTGCCTGTCATAACTAAAATAATTATATGCATATTGGTAACTTTCGAGCTATTAACTCCTAAAGTTTTTATTTTCTTTGAAAAATATCAGTTACTATGATTTTGCTTAATAAAACTGAAACGAATAAAGTTATGAAAAAAACGCTTATAGGGGGTTGTTAATCTCCTTTTGCTGATTCTAGATATGGTAGTAACTCAATTTTCGCTATAATTGTGGATTACGTTAGTTATGATAAGGACACAGAAATAATGTTTCGTTTGAATTTCTATTGCTTTAAGTCTGTACATATGTTTACAAAAATAAGTCATATTGTTACCATTTTTACTACCTGCTGTTTATTACCATATTTAGCATTTTCCTCACGTTACATAAGACGTTAAGCACTATAAAGGTTAACATTTTCCGATAGACGTGCCAGTGGCGACGATCCATCTTGGCTCCAAGATGAACCCCAACGATATCGAAGAGGGAGATGACGTCTATTTCGGGTGCGAGGTCGACGCCAATCCGCCAGCTTATAAAGTCGTGTGGGAGCACAACGTGAGTTTTCTTACTTATTTTTAAATAAGATTTTCTTAGATAGTGTCCCTGAGTCTTTGTTGCAGGGTGTTGTAACATAGTGAAGCTAAAATTAAAGCAACGTGGTAGGGTGAAAGTTAGGTGTTTGTCTAGAATATTGTTATGTAGCAACAAAACATACGAACAATCTTCTTCTAATATATTTAAAGCTAATTTAACAACAGTTAATTTTCATTTTTGCATTTGTTTTGAAAATCTTTATGTAGTAAGGTACGTCAAATATAGGCATATTTGACGTACCATAGTAGATAAATTTGTGTCTGCGCGACGTACTAGACACATTTTGTTTCGTGCTACAAAATTATGGCAAGAACGCTGTGCTCACGAGATTAGTCAGAGCTATAATAATAATTTTAATGAAGTAGATCCGTTTATAGATAAAATACTCATTTCAATCCAAAATCAAACTCCACTTTATTAAACGCAAGACGTAGCTAATTGTTACATTTTATCATAATGATATGTATAATACTAGTAGAATCTTTATGCTATACTTAATACGTATGTGTGCACTATGTTTATGTACATATATGTATGTATGTGTGTGGTGTGTGTATATATATATTGGCATATAGTTGGCACTAGTTTATCCCAGTTTAACCATTGTTATTTATTAAAGTAGTACCACCTAAACCATTACAGGTATAAATGGGACAGGTTAGTACCAGTTATACCATTAATGGTATAACTAGTCAGTAGGCATCTAAACAGCTGAACCAATAATGATGAATTTCGGTACACAGATAGCTGACACCTAGGAGAAGTACATAATCTAACTTTTGTCATAAAAATAAGATTCAAAGGTGATGAAACAGGGGATGAAAGTTTTATGGAGAATCGATAATTTTTTATAATAATTAGTATACTATAGTAGGTTATTCGGAATACTTATTCTACGCAGACGAAGTCGCGGGCAACAGCTAGTAGGTATATATAAGTATATCTTTCCTTTGCAAAAGACAATAAAGATATTTTCTTGAGAATTACTTGTATACACGTCCTTTGAATCCGTATTGGTTTGTTTGTATTCAAAAATGTGTTTCTGTTGTTGTGTCCATGTTTCTTTTTAATTAGTAAGAAAAACTTGCAAGAAATACTTTGCATACTATAAACCAGTAGCTGGTCTTGCATAAACATAGTCGTATAGTTTATAAAGTAGAGACATTGTTCAAATTAAGATACACAAGTTTATTTAACACTGCAACTATTAAGCGATAGCATTTAGCAGACCATTTCAGTGACTTATTCCAACTGAATTAAGGTAGAAAGCTACAATGGTTTTGTTTAAGGCGATCATTTGTAGTTTTTTTATAACATCAAGTGACGGGACGAACAAGTCTGCGCCTGATGATAAGCTACACACCTGTCCATGATAGAGATAAAACTGGGTAAATAGAGATGAATATGCTATAGACGAAAAACATGACGCGTCGCGATGCTTCGACTCTGCGCCAGTGTGAGTTGAGCCTTAGAGTTTTTAATCTCAAAGATTTAAGAAGCACTACTACTGCGCCCGTCACCCTGAGACGTAAGTTGACAAGTCTCATATGCCTGTAATTTCACCAGCACCCTTAAAAACTGGAACGCAATACTACTCACATTACTGCTTGGCGGCAGAAATAGGTAAGGTGGCAGTACTTCCCTGGACGAACTCTTCCGCAAGGAGCTCCACAGCTAGTAAAAGTTGTAGTGTTGTATATAGATTTTAATATTCGTAATTATTCACCAAACGACTGTCAATAGTTGACGCCATCAACGGTCCAATTGTTTGCTCTGTGGGCGCTGGATGAGCAGGTCCCAGGGTCGATTCCCGGTAGGAGCAATTTGGGAAATGAAGTTCTCTTAGTTGGTTCTGGAAAGTGCAGCATTGTATTCCGTTGCACTGGTACTCATAGCAAATTAACCTAGTTTACGCCCTGGTAACTGTTGTTGCTGTGTCACAGGTCACTATCACATTATTATTTTGAATGTATATCTAAGATTCTCGCCACTCACATAACCTTAATTTGGATTTTGTATTTTCTATGGGACATTCAGTTTTCGCCGACAACGGAACCTTTGGCAATATTCAAGGGCTCAGGTTAAAGAATCGACAATAACCTTATTGTTAGTAGTTATAGGTTTCTTACATTACATTTTCATAGTTATTCACTATTCGTCTATACCTTGGTAGGGAACACGTCATTACTGATAATCAATAACGCTATACTTAACACCACACAATGACTATGTCGTGTTATTATTACATATTCAGACGCAAATACGACTTGACCATTTGATTAATTATTCGTAGTCATCTACACCAAGCATACGATCACGAACAAACAACATATTATATGACTTGTTTAAAGCTAGTTATAGTTCCTAAAAACCATTTTATGCAACGTTCAAAATCGTTCTACGCATTGATACAAAATTTTCCTAACCGATGAATAGGCAGATAGTGCAACTGATGTAAAATGTAAAGAATTTTAAGTATTACCCTGTGAATGCTCTGACTCTTCCTATATTCTAATCCGGAACACAGTGCAGTGGCACCCCAGGCGATTTCTGCTATGTTAAAACCCTAGCACCAGCAACGCGTGGAAAAAAAGATTCTAGTCGAACCCAATGTGACTGCGGTACTGCAACACAGTCCATGAAGTACTCTTATGCCTTAATACGAGGGAAGATCTCTACGCAGCCACGGATACTGCTGTCTATGAACAACATACTATTCGATATAGTACTATATACTATAACTATAAATTAGTATGTTCTAAAATAAAAGAAGCATCGACACGATAAGAAGAAGCAAAACGTATAAAAAGTAGAATATTATATCCTTTTTAAAAATTAAACGTTGACTAAAGATTCCATCCTGTACATTAGAAGTACCTGCTACCGTTTATTAATCTGACCTTTCAACAGACTTCGTACAGTTTCAGAGTTTCGTAACCCTGAAAGTTCAGACAATAGATTCTGTTCTCCGTTAGTTTGAAAATTCCACCCGATCTCGAGATTCCCTTACAGTTCTCCAAACGGCTACAAAGCATTGACAGATACCTTTGTGAGAGAAAACTGCTTCATTCCAGAAATACTTTTTAGGGCTCCAATAAAGTAGTCGCCGAGGAATGCTTAAACAGTTTTACTAGTGCTGAGCGCACTAACTAAAACTCCTGACCCGCTGTATAGCTGTATAGGGCATGCAAAAACGAGTGATTTTGAAAACCGAATTTTTCGGTTACCCAGTTATTCCGCTTTTTTGGATATTTTTCTATTGTCACTCAAATAATTATTTAAAAGTGTCAAAAAACTAAAAAGACATCGAATAAGTGTTTCACAGATTATTTTTATTATTTATAGAATTCACAGCTAATGAGTTAATCAACTTCTCGAATTATAATAAAAAATAAGTCAAGAACGCAAATATTCTTAAACAAATATGCATATTTAGAGACAAACTAAACATCTCTTTCAGTCTACACAGTGATATTAGCGATAGGCTTGAACATTGGACATACGAATTAATTACATGATTTGGTTCATTTAACAGGTCACGTTTTTATTTTTGTAAAAAACCTGTGGGTCGGAAAATCTATAAATATCTAAGTTGATTTGTGCTACAACCAAATTTTCGCTTATTAAACGTTCATGAAATCTCCCGAATCTAGCGACTATGTCCCTAAAATGGCGACACTGAACAGGAGGAAAAAAAATCAAACTGAAGATTTTATGATAAAGATTTTTTAAAGTTGTTGTTGCTGTACTGTGCTCTCGGTACCCAAAGATTACCCGCTTCCGCCACGCGGACGCTATCGCTGTACTGTAATCATGTACCCGTATTCCTAACACGTAGTTAGCATTTAATTATTTATCATTATCAATCACGATACGATGATATGATGAGTTACGAATTTACGTTTTAGTAGTTTTAGGACAAAACCGAAAATCCCGAAATTTTCCTTAGCTTAAAATTGAGTTCGAAAATGGGCTACTTGGTTGGTTTTTTCGGTTAATCGAGTAACCGGTTTGCATGCCCTAATAGGTATCATTACAATTCTTATGGGTGAAAAACGAAGTTTATTTTAATTTTCTTTTTCTTGTTCGTTACGAACGTTACTGACTTTTGAAAAGTTGAGAACAATACGTTATTAAATCCTACAATTTCGAAACAGTACAAAAATCTGTAAACTAATGAATTCAAGTCAAAGAGAAACAGTATTACTTAAGAAGAGTACCACGAGAAAGGCTTCATAATACATTTAATGGACATGACACTTTTTTTGTAGTCGAGTTGCTAATACATAGTAGCACCACAGTTTTTAGGGAAGATATTGTAATACTGTGGTAACACCGTGACTGAAACCAACCATCATTCATTCAATGCAGGATGGGCAAATCGTCTGTTTAAAGGTTAAACCATTTAAGTGACATTTTCCACAAAAAATCTTTTATTTATATAGCCATGGTAAGAAAATCACTATCCTTCTGCACGTGAAACTCAATAACAAAAAAGCTATAAAACTGAATAAGAGTTTTATCTGCAGAAAGATGGTGAATTTCTTACAACTGCTACATAACTTGGAGATATTTTGTGGAAATCGTCACTTATGTAACTTTACCTTCAAGCAGACGAAATAAAATGTTCTTGAAAATTGTGACAACTATTTATTGTTCTAAGAAAGTACTTACTACATTTTAAACTCATCATTTAACCATCTTCTAAATTTAGCAACATGTAAACTAGAAAGCCCATTTCTAGGAATATACTTTTTAAATATTCAATAGTTCTTCTGAAAGCGGACACATTTACCATGCTGCCATAAATATTATCACGTCTGTAACATTAATTGAATCAAGCGCAAAATGTAACTCTCTCTCTGAAGAGTTTTACTCGAAAAGAATTATTGCCAAAGTTGTTATTGAGTTAACGTATTGTTAATATTGTGATGGAATAGGCTTTTGTGAGCGATGAGGAACTTTTCGTGTCATATTTTCGTCAACAAGATAAAAAGTTTGCTGTTTGTGACTTATATTTTCTTATTGATAATATCTTTTATTTGAATAAGGGTTTGGTTGTTAAGTGCATTTGTTAGTGTGAAATAAGCGCGTCCAAATTTCGCTGAACCCCTTATTATGAAAAATTATAAAAAAAATATCACCCATGAATAAGCAATTAATTGTCTACCTACCAATGATTTTTAGATAACATGAATGAAAATAAATATTTATTTATTCCTTTCTGATGTTTTTATTGAGCGAAAACAGTTTCGTTTTTTTGCTAAAATCACATTAAAGCAAATAGCATATTTTTTCTTACGTTTCATTAAATAATAAATAGCTGTATTTTCTTTCCAAATGGTTAGTTCGAACCGATAACTAATATTCCATTTAAATGAAAAATTGCCGTGGAATCAACAATAAATAGTGCGGAAATTGAGAAAATGTTTGCAATAGCCCAGCACGTCAATAACAACTGCGTTAGACTAATTCGCGGCAGTTTCGTATTTTATACAATCCTCGGCTTTTGACGTGTCCAATAACTGAACGGGTTGACATTCAAAAATGAAAACGTGAGGTCCTGCATGAATGCACATTTTACTTAGATTTTTTATACTGCATGAAATCGTCGTTTTATTGAAAATAGACATAACGATGTGCTTCGAGAAATATTTATAATGCACTGAACATGAAAGCAATCTAGCGTTGAAAGGTTTAAATGTTTATTATGAATATAGAGGCCAATTAGCGCCATGTAAAATACGTGGTATGGACAACGATTATTCGATCTATTAATCCCTAGAGTAATATCAATACGATATGGAATGTACAGGCATGATTCTTCATATGTTGCTACTAACAGGTATACAAATTGTTTACGAAGAACCAAATTGTTAGGCAACATAAAAAATATTAAAACAATTTTCATTTATATTTTTTTACAAATACACGATTGATTTTTTGAGACAACCGTGATAAAATCATCCATTCATTTCGTTAATAACATTCTTTTAAACTATAAGAACAGCCGTCCCCCTGCGTCTAATATTTATTTTTACAATATTTATTTTAAACGTAAGGTAAAGGAAAGTAATACTTCATTTTATTCCCCAGGGTATTTTACTTCAGCACAATCCATCAGGCGGCGTTATACTAACAGGAAACACGAACTTGGCGTTACGGAATGTATCAAGACATCAAGCCGGAAAATATACGTGCACAGCTTCTAATGTCGAAGGGGATGGAAAATCACCTCCTTTACATATGCAAGTTGTATGTAAGTAGCATAATTACGATAAACCGTTTCGAAAGAACGTTATAATATATAACGTTAACTTAGTTTATTATATTTTTAAAGACTCCGGTGGACTAGTTTAGGAAAATAACTTTGTAAATTAGTTTTGATCTGGATGTTCTGCGTAGTGTTGTTGGATTTAATTGCGGTAGTCTAAAAAGTTTGAACCAGTTTCACATCAAATAATTAGTAGGATACGAGATAAAACAGAACTATAACGTTATAACTAACTGCCTCCGTGGCCGAACGGTTACCACGCTAGATTGCCACGCAAGTGGTCGTGGGTTCAATTCCCGGGCCGAGAGAAATATTTGTATGGCCTACATTTATTTCTCCCTTGAGTTTAGGTGTAATTTGTGGTTGTCTATGTGTGTGTCCATGGCAACCGCGATACACGGTTTCCTCAGTGCGGGGCTTTGAGTGTGTGCGTGTAGATGTGTGTATATAGTATGAATCAAAATTAGACGTCCAAAATGTAAACAAAGGGGATAACCGAACAAAAAATATCTTTTACGTGGTACTTTACTATTTTAGACGACAATAACTATACCTCCCACGTAAGTTGTTGTAAGTCAAAATATCATTTTTTGCTTTTTATCTTAAATATTTACTTTTTTTTAAGTATATTGTAGGTTCCATGTTTGAACGCAAACATAACATTAAGTGATTTCCTTACTTTTATCGTTATTATCGTCTAAAATAGTAAAGTACCATGTAAAAGATATTTTTTGTTCGGTTATCCCCTTTGTTTACATTTTGGACGCATATTATGATTCATAGTATATACATACGTTTAGATCACTTTTCTAAAGTGTAATCTGATAAAACTTTTACTTAATTTTGTTCGAAACAATAAATAATTTAATAGTATATAATATAATTTAATATATAATTTTATAACACTGCTAACACAATCGGGATCAGAAACATTTTTTGTACCGCCATTTTGTGGAGTCATAGACGTCATTATTGCTTCGTTTCTGGAACTCAAATGGTTTCTTGTCACCGTAGTGCGTTTGTTAAATTATTGTGTGTTGCTGTTAAAGTTTTTGTTTAGTGTTCATATTTTGTAATTGATAATTTTCAATTGAAGAAAATGACAACCTCCTCCTTTTCCAATACCGTTAAAAATAGAAGGTTTAGCATACCTGCATTCACACTTCGATCATGACATTACATGACATTTCTTTGTTTACATTTTGGGCGTCTAATTATGATTCATGTTATAGCCCAGACGAGAACCTTCATTATGAAGACGAAATACAATATATCGGCCTCTGAGGCCGAACGGTTACTATGTCGGACTGCCACGCAGAGGTCCTGAGTTCGATTCCCAAGCCGGGAGAAATATGTGTATAGCCTACGTTTATTTCTCTCGTGAGTTTGGGTGTAATTTGTGGTTATCTATGTATGGTCCATGGCACCCGCGACACAGGTTTTCCCTAGTGCGGGGCTATGAGTGTGTAGCGTTATTATTATTATTATATGTCATAATTTTTCTTAAGATTGAATCGATATTTCTGAATTATAACATGCTATCAATCTGAATTACTTCGTTAGGATTCTGGAAGCTATTTTGAAGGGTACAAATTGAATTATTTTTTTCTCTCTCTAGTTTCATTCTCTCTGAAGAAACGACGATGGAATGCCATTAATTCGTTTAATAGTAGCCTACAATGGGCTCTTTTTTAACGGAATGATTAATTTGTGACTTAAACGACGTTTCGGGTGAATTGCAAAATTGTCCTTTTTCTGCCGATTGTTGCTTCGATAATTGAATTTAGAAAGTTTCTCTGAACTCTGATTTCTGTGTTTTATTATAAAAATTCAATTCAATTCCTGTGTACCAAGAATCAGCAATTATTGTCTATTGTTAAAACAAATAGTGTATCGATGATCGTTGGAACCAAAGAGTAACTTTGATATGGTACCTTAATATATATTATTGAAAGATTTCATTTACCCTGCGATTAGAATATTGGAAGCTACAAAGAAGGTCACGAATTCAATTCCCAATACAACTAATATAAAAAACGAAAGTTCTTCACATTGCCGTATTTTTGTAGCAGGAATTTATTTTTCACCCACTAGCTCAGAAAGGCTTTCTTTCTCATTAGAAGAAGCGTTGTTTTCTACTCTAGCGTGGAAAAGGTTTTTGAACTTGTCGATGAACTGTGGTGTACCTAACTGTTTCTTTCGATGAAAAAAAAACACTATGACACGTTCAACTACGCGATTTGTCGTACATTATTTATGTAATATAAATCAGTTGCTATATTTAATTCTTATTATTGTAGACATTAAATTGACAGTAATAACTAAATTTATAAAAACTTAGTATAAAAATAAATATATAACTCGAATAACTTAATTAAAACTTTAATTATAAAAACTGATTTTTTTATAGTTCTTCAACTTCTTTTCTTTCAAAAGGGTTCAACTTTTTTTATTTCATCTACCATTATCCTCGCTATAGTGAGGTAAAAAGTTGTGTGCTTTGCTCGGCAGCAAAGTTGTTTTACGTCTCGTGTCTTGAAACCGCTACGTTCAGGATTCTATTTTTAATCTAAACGCCTCAACTTGCTCAGGTTCCAATACCTACTTTGCAGCCTTGCATAACAAAAAACTATTGTCACTCTTTTACTCATAGTACAGGGAAACCCCTATTTTGAGACTAGGGGATCAATGTTCTCGATTTCGATTGGCGAACGTATACAGAAAATATCACGAATTATATTTTACAGGATTTTTTTAATGATACCAAGTGACAGAACGAACAAGTCGAGCGCCTAAATGGTAAGCGACACATTTGTTCTTATCAATTGCAGCGCTACTCAGAGCTTTAAATCACAAAAATCTGAAAGACACTGGCACTACGCCCGTCACCCTAAGACAAAGTTGATAAGTCCAATGTGCCTGTAATTTCACTAGCATCCTTACTTTTCAAAACCGAAACTCAGAAATAGGTCAGGTGGCAGTGCTTTCCTTGACGAAGTCCTTCACAAGAATGTCTACTACTACTAAATGAATGTATATAATAATGTATGGTATGATTAACGGGTACATTATTTTTGTTATTTTCAATTAATCAATCAATCAGCCTATATATTGCAGTCCACTGCTGGATATAAACTTCCCCAAGTGTACGCCATGTGCCCGATCACCCGTTTTCCGTATCCAACCACTACCCGCGACCTTTTTCAGATCGTCAGTCCATCTTGCAGGGGGACGTCCTACGTTACGTTTGCCGGACGTGGTCTCCACTCGAGAACCCGTCTACTCCATCGCTCATCGGTTCTGCGACAAATTTGGCCAGCCCACTGCCACTTCAGCTTGCTACATTTTTGGACTATGTCCACAACTTAGTCTTAATATAACTTAAAATAACTTCGTTCCGGACTTTGTCCCTTTACGAGATAACCAGCATAGACCTTTCCATAGCTCACTGAGCAACATGTAGTCTGTGAGCCAATTTGACCGTCATACTCCACGTCTCGGCTCCGTAAGTCCTAACCAATAGGACGCATTGGTTGTAAACCCTGGTCTTCGGGTACTGTGGGAGGGGCGACGAGAAGACATGACGCAGTTTCCCAAATGCTGCCTAACCTACCTGCACTCTCCTAGCTATTTCACGCTCGAAGTTGTCTCTGCCTAGTTATAGGGTTTGCCCGAGGTAGATATATTCTCGGACAAATTCGATCGTTTCGCCATTAATCGAGATCGCCTCCGGGATGACGAGCTCAATGAACAAGACCTTAGTGTTGTCCAAATTCATCCGAAGACCGACCGATAATGAGGCAGTATTAAGGCTGTTCAGCATTTTCTGCAGATCCTGCAGCGAATCTGCCATTATAACGAGGTTATCGGCAAAGCGAAGGTGTGTGAGATTTTCGCCATTGACATTGATGCCAATCCGATCCAATCAAGTGTCTTAAAGACGTCCTCCAGAGCGTTTGAGAACAGTTTCGGAGAGATAACATCACCCTGTCTCACGCCTCTGTGCAACTGGATGGGTCTTGTCTTGTTGCTTTGTACTTGGACGGACATCGTGGCCTTGCTGTACAGATTTTTCAGCACCTTAACGTACCGCCAATCCATTTGACATCGCTGCAAGGATTCCAGAACAACCCAGGTTTCGATGGAGTCGAAGGCTTTTTCGTAGTCCACAAATGCTACACACAGTCACTGATTATACTCTTCGGACTTCTGTATAATCTACCGAACAGTGTGTATGTGGTCCACGGTGCTATAGCCTTTTCGAAACTCTGCCTGCTCCGGTGGCTGGAAAGCGCCAAATCTTCCGGCGAGACGATTTGTGAGGACTCTCGATAACAGCTTACAAACGTGGCTCAGGAGAGCGATAGGTCTATAGTTCTTCAAGAGCGTTGAGCTCCTTGAGCTTTCTGAGCACTGGGTCTCCTCCTGCCCTGAGAAGCTCAGAGGTTATTCCGTCTTCACCGGGAGCCTTCCCATTATTAAGCTGTTTAAGAGCCCTCCCAATTTCGTCTTTGTCCACTTCTGGCAGCGTTGGACGAATAAGAGATCTCATCATACGGCTTCTCTCAACCTTGAAGTCGATATTTATTTACCTCTTACGAGTCTGTGATCGCTACCGGTATTGAACCTATTGACCACAGATATCATCTCACGCGATTCATGCGTCTCTGGAAGCATACCACACCTAGAGGTGCCGGTGATGATTTCATACCGATTTATCGGATATCGAAGTTATAACAGGTAAAAGAACTAATACTAATTGCTATTTCGTAAACAACTCTAGCATAAAGTTTCTAATGTCTGGGTCTGTCATTTAAAAAAAATAAACAACTTCAAAAATACGTCACGACAATCGTGTGTGTTATTGTTTGGGCTGGTGATGTCGGTGTTTATTTATTGAAAACATACCGTAAGTTGCGTTTTTTAAGTTTACCCTGAATATAAATGTTTATAAACTATACTTTAAGGAGTAAGTTCATGGTATA